AAGCGTTGGAAACGGAGTGATTTCCGTGGTTTTCCTGAATGACTGCTTCTTCAAATGAACCATGCCTGATTACCAAAAAACGCCCATTTTCAATTGCTTGTTGCATGAGTGTCAAGAACAACAAACTAACTAATCCAAATCTGAACGTTTTCGTTCTATAGTTTGAAATTCTGAAAATAAAATTTTACTTGACTTGGACAGCAAAGGCAGGGTTGGCATGTATATTATTCTGTAGGTTTTGACAGTTTTGTTCGTTAAAGACCTAATTTTGTGGTCTATGGTTTTTTGAATAATTTGTTCGTCCTGCTGCACAGATCACTTGCTAGCACCTGATTAAAAATGAAGTGCTATTTCCGTAATAAGCACAGGTTTATCTACCACCTTATTAAAACTAGTTCAAAATGCAAATTTATTTATCTTTTGGTGTTTCCTACTGATAAAACATTGGCTCAATTTACAACAATTTTCGAAATTAAAAAAATTTAAAATGAGAAATCCATAAGGGCGATTGGCATTAAATGCTACCAGCGTAAACTACAGGATGCTAAATCTGTGATCATTTGACTGATGACTTCTATACTTTGACAACTATGGTATAATGAATACTTTATTTTTAAGTATTATGACTGTGACAAACAATTTTTTTCCTAAATGTTTAGCTAGGTTAATGTAATGCAATAGATAGTATGTCATGATTGGTGACTGTGTGATGTAATTCTGTAAAAAATTTTGAATTCGTTCTAGAAACTACCGATATCTAATTCAATTAAATTGTCAAAAGGCCTAAAGTAACAAAATTTTAGAAAGCCTACAAGCAGTACTTGAGGCTCCGAAACACCCCAAACTGTTAACTTTTGCAACCGAGAAAGCCCTACAAGAAACACTCGCAATTTTCTTGTGTCTTACATGAGAAGAGTTGAACTCATAGAAGTTTAGTTATTGGCAATGATAGTGTGGTTGAATGTCACTGAAAAAGTGCACCACACGGCAATTTTAATCGCAGAAGAACTAAATGCTGGTGAATGATCACTTTTGGCGTGCAACCTAAAGCATCAATGCATAAATCCCTGTTGACTGCCATTTCGTAATAACTGGTTTATCGCTTCAGGAGAGTATTTTAAAGATAGTAACAGTAAAGATGCCTGTATCACTATGGAGTCGGCGGCGGTGAATAATCATTGGGGGACTTAAATGGACCAAGTTAAATTGAAAATCGCTGCTGACACTTAGTGGAGATGGCTACTGCGAACTGTTTAACAGCATGAGTAAAAATTTAAAAGCCTTAAAACGCATCAATTGTATGATATTTTGACTAACGCCTCACACCAAGCAAGCGTGTACTAGGCACACTAGACCCTCACCATTTTACAAGAGAGTGGTCTGTGAATTTAACTGCTTGCTACTTGCGTTACAAAGTACGGACACTTGATAAAGTTTAGAATTGAGAAGTAACATTTAGGTCAACGCCAACCAGCTTCGCATTTTTCTTGTATGTAGCAAACACTGAAATTCAATGCTTGGTTATAAACGAGTGCATTTAACATATCTTCCCTTGAAATTCATTGCAAAATGTCAATTTCCAAGTTAGTGTTTCCACGCATTTATGTATTTCGTTTACGTTAGGAGGGGGCAACATATTTAATGCCTGTTTCAAGCTTCGATAGTCTTTTGATATTACTAACTGATTGCCTCTGTTATTTGAAGGAAGTTTAAAATATGGTTCCTTAATTTCCTTTTTTTATTTGCAGATCCTTTGCATACGTGCCGCGGCATCTAATATCCTTCCGGTTTAATGGACTCAGCTTTCTAATTTTCAAGGGAGCCTAACTAAAAACATCGTAGCCCTTTTACTTTTTTTAGCCTAACTGTTATTCATAAGAAAGAGAGTTCATACTTCGTGCACGAACTCAGTTTTCGGAAATTATATATACAGTGCTCTTTACGCATCACTCAATTTCCACTTTAATCACGCAATAAAGGGGATCAAAAATTGTACTGAATGGGGCACTTCTGTTTTGTCAACAGAACGGTTATTGAACTCCTAAGTTTAATGCAACTCATGTTGTAGCATTTTATGCTAACAACTTGCAAGTGGTTGTCATTTAACATTGTTCTGACTAAATCGGAACTTATGATTCAAAAACTCACAAGCCATCTGCAGTCCACGCTGACATAGCAAAGCTTCCTGTCCTAGTTTAGTAACTTTACGCTGTCCACTGGACTTAATTCATGCAAAAGGATGTTAAGTGACCAGATTACGATGTCTTCTGTGTGGTAGGACTCACAATTCCCATAAATCTTAAAAGATCAAATCGAATAACAGAGAGCACCACTGCACCGTGCAAGAGTGAACTGCCTACCACAACGATCTCACGTTGGCTTCACATTTCGCATACACAGGAATCTCCAAAGCGCCTTACGTTTTAATCAATAGTTTAATCACTCAGGAGAAAAGGTGGCTGTCGCATGTAGGGACTTGAAATTGCATAACGTGACCAAACTGGGCAGAAATGTATGAAAAGCAGCATAACTTTAAAGTGTATGCAGACATCCCATTCGTAACTTAGATTGTTGTCTTAATTTAATTGAGTAGGTAACTGATCGATACGGCGTGAAGGGAAACGAAATTAAAAAAGTAGGACTCAGGTACAGACGTAATGTGATGCGGGTGCTAGTTAAATCAAGTGATTAATGTAAGAAAATTGGGTTTAAGCGTCAGTCCACCCATCAGCGTCTTGTGGCCGCTTCACTTGACGAGTGCATCAGGGCGGTATGCATACATTAAGGGCTTAGTGGTGGTAGTCAGTAGATGTGCTGCAGAGTGTACGGTAGACAGACGATGGCCTTCGACCTAGGACTTGTTCTGTACCACTGACTGGTGACGTCAAGCGGACCCTAGAGACTGGATACCCACTCACATCAAACAGTAAGGGAAAACATTTCCAACCTGTGAGATGGATAGGGAATAATTTCTATAAGCTCACTTAAAAAGGCAATCCCAGTGTCTGGCGCTAACATCTGTACAGAAATTTGACGCATTTGGTATTCAGAAGTTTCTCTAAGGTAAATGGGGCCACGTGTGACTAAGCTGTCTCATTAACTCACCGAAACTCTCACCATTGTAACATGGGCGTGAAATTTCTTAAGCGGTACCACTTTTAAGAACCATTTGGATAGTTAAGTGATATGCGTAATCTAGTTTCCGTGGTGCATACGCCAATTTCCCTGCATGGCTGGTAAATGCATAACAAATGAGTATTTAAAGCTTCTGGTTGAAATATTTATTATGAACACCATTTGCGGTTAATGGAGAACCTAAAACTGAATCCGAATAATAAGCTATCAATTTGCAGTTTGCGGTTTCCATAATTTACATTCAATTTTTACAAATCTTTAAGTTAGAATTTCAGAAAGGCTGTGATTGTGGAAGTCACTTGAATGTGAAAACTCACCTTTTCATTAGGTAGTCAAATCCAATGTTTTTGCGAACAGACCACACACTGGATAAGGAATGATTAAAGTTGTTTAAAAATGCCAATGCTAAAATGACATATTTCTGATTTGAAAAGGGCCTTTTAGTGTCAGTATTACATTAATCACGTCTTACATCAGAAATTTTGAGTGATGATAGTAGGTCCTTTTATCATAGTTTAGGTAAATTGATTGTTGGCAAAAGATGACTTATGAGAAGCCTTACTTCTAACTCGCCAGTAGATGTAAGCTCACTGCAGCAGACCACCTCAGCAAGAACTGAAATAGTGTTATATGTAAACGTTCAGAAGTCGCAGATAGGATAAGAAACATTAGGACTTTATTCATGTTCTAATAAACAAAGCATTATTATAATTGCGTACTTTTGATTGTCCTGTTCCTAAAATCTGAAGAAACTGGAATTAGTGTCAGTAAGTCCCCTATGTAATTTACAGTCATGAAATTCTTGCGTCTGTGTATTTGCTGCACAATAATGATATTCAAAATATTGTCTTGGCTTTGTATTCTAATGTCATCTATTTACAACAGCCTTTTGTGTGTAGAATATTCATAAATCCATGTTTAAGTCAAGTCTAAAAAAGTGGTAACTGAGGTGTTTAAAATGTGTCAGATTTAAGTACTAGCAACTTCAAAAACCATTCGTGTTGCTTGGCGTGAGAAAATTTGGAAGCTACACATAAACAAGTTCTAGCTACTTTCATGGGAGTGAGCAAGTTGAACCCCATGTATATTTTGCATATGTAAGCCAGCAATGACCATAAAGTAAGTAGGTAAATGAACTACTTAAAATCATAACTGTCTAAGTAAACGTAGACGAAATCCTCGCACATAAAATTGTAACATGAAATACACCCGTCTTAACCGCAAAATTGAATGTTTCCCGATTAGTAAAGCGGAGGGCACATGCTGAATAGCTGCGAACATTTCTCGGTGTGTTGCATTTCTGACACACTAGCAACTGGTGTTTTACTAATTTGAATGAAGACGTTTCCTGCAAAAATATATTTGAAATTCTGGAGGATTACTCCTTGTTTTTACTGTAGTTGACGATCAGTTTGATGAACTTTTCTGGATTAAACACTACAAATTTAAGTGGTCAAATGAAAGAGAGGTTTATCTTTAAAATACTAGTTGTTATGACCGTACGACTATTGGATCAATTTCAAAGTTCAACACGTTTTAAATGTAGGATTCATTTAGTGAACGACTTACTATGGGCCGTATGATTAGTCATCTAATTTGCGCATGTGACACTTTGGCTGATCTCGCATTCACAAAGATATTTCTCAGCCTAATTGCGCATCGTTAAGTCAAGGAAATAATTTAATTAATTCAGCATCTTGAACTCCAAATGCTGTCACACACAGACAGGCACACATTCACACACACGCATCAAAACTCAAAATAACTGGTCAATCAGATAGAAGGTGCTCTTCCTTTTAGCGCCTGCTTTTAATGCCATAAAACTGTGCTGTCATTTGGGATACTTGGCACTCCTACCATTTCCGATGCCTCACGCCAAAGCATACGTAAAGCAGGCCGACATGCTAGAGCAAATGCAGCAGGAGGCAGTAAATCATGCCTACGAAGCCCTGCACTGCAACCAACAGTATATGGACATTGCCAAGCATTTGAGGAGCCATTTCGATCGCTGCTATGGACCGTCCTGGAGTTGTGTTGTTGGAAAAGACTTTGGCACGTAAGTTACCAAGTCAACTCATGTAAACAATTAAACCGTGATTGGCTAACTTGTAAACGCATTAGGATCTTTAGTAAAGGTGTAGACAGTCAACATGAATATAAACGATATACTAAAAAGCCTTGTTTAGCGCTACTTTTATATTGTCTGATTAGTTGTAAGATAAAGGTTTGGCTTCGAATAAAATGAAATCGGCTGGTAGACTTACAAAATAGTCGTCATGGTCTAATTTTACTCATATTAAGTGGAAAAATAATATTTGAAACAGACATGACACACGTTTTTACACTAGAATATAAACTGTCGAGCAACTAGATTGTGCTCGTAGTGTCTGTTTTGAAATTTACAGCTTTCAAAAAGGCATACTGGCTTTCATCAAGTCGAGTGTGTCATAAGCAACTTAGTAAAAACTAAAAAGCTGAAGTGGAAGTCGTGAGCTTACAAAACTACGACTATCGGCTGTGCAAAGTATTGTTTTAATATTTAATAATAACCATTTTTAGACGACAAAGTTAACTAGTTATTCGGAAACTCGGCCAATATGTTTGTGCACTGTTAACTGGTTTTCCTGTTTCCTTTAGATCCTTCGCATATGAGAAAAGGCACCTGATATCGTTTGAATTAAAAGGCTACACATTCCTATTATTCCGGGGAGCCTAGATCACTGTGCAGTCTATTATTCTAATAGTGCTATATTTCAATGTTTTACTTGCCTGCAATTTGCATTCAAGTTATTATTAATTTACCCCAAAGTACACAAAATATTTATTAATTTTATCTTTCTTGCATTTTTGATCGCGTCTCACCGCATCTGGTAAGGGTGATTTACCATACCTCAGTTAAGCCAGCCTAAATGTAATACTAATTTTGATATAACTTGCAGCAATTGTCTACGGTAATGGATAAATGCATGAGAGTAAATTTAGCAACTAAATACCACGAATGTAATAAAAAACTGCAAAATGATTGTAGGAACCGTGAAGTGCAAGTTTTTGTCCTTCATGATGTTCCTTTCAGAAGCGGCAGTAAGTAATAGGGAATTATGCACATCTAAATACCTACTTAACTTTTTCGAGAACACTTCAAAAATTCGTTGTTGAAGTCTTAAATATTCTTCAAATTCACACAAGAGAAGTAGGATATAGAGATCCGGAAGATCTGCTTTATCAGCAATTACAAATGAAGCCCGACAAAATTACTCAAACAAAACGTTTTAATTTTTCAGCTGGTCCTATTTAAATGGTTGTTTGGTATATTACCACTTTATTAGTGGAAACAAAATGGCTGCATTTCAAAAAAAATGTACGTTTAAACTTAGGGTTCTTTTGATATTCGTAATACTTTAAACCGAATTATCAGTTTTGAGTTTCATTTTGCAAGATCATCTTTGGGGTTGGGTCTTGTATGCCAAGATAAAAGCTATTTCAAAAATATTAGTAGGTGGGCTTTTTGGATCATTTTCTCAGATCTTTTAATTAATTTGATTTACTATTTACGTCTTTATTTTTAAAATCAGCAATTACGTTTATGCTACTTTCCATGTAAGCTTTAGCAATTTGCTAATTGTGCTATTCAAAGAGGGCGAAGAAGGTTTCGTGGAAGCCTTTACTTTCCAATAAGTTCTTGATCTGTCTTGTCATGACTTGATGACACACAATTCCTTACTTCACAAATTTTGCATTGACACATATTAATTCACAGGAGTTTAGCGCAGTAATTTGATTAGCCGTACTACGGCCCCACTCAATAAGCCGCCTATATAGTTTACGATGATGTAGCATATAGAGTTGGTATTTTTAAAAACCAACCTATATGGACACAAGGAGCTTCATTTGCAGATTCAAGCTAACTACCTAAAGAACTTTTATTTTAAAGAGTTATACAAATGCAATATCCGCAAATGTATCGCTCAGCCTACAAATATTATTTAAAATAAGGAGTATGTAGGACGCAATTGATACAATTTGTCGGTTTTGAGACAATTTTTTATCCAAAATCATTAAGTGTATTTTTTGTAGTTAAATGCTGACAGCTATTCAGTGTATCATAACAATTCCTGCCGCTGCACCTGAAACTGAGTTCAAGGGGACATACCGTGAGTTCACGCCCTATTAGGGTAAATTTGCAAACCAACGCTAATGCATTTTAGAGGTTGCGTGGTCACAAAACGAATTATCGTGACTAAACATGCACGAATAAAAAAGGAAATAGAGCATAGTAGTTCGCGACGGGTACATTTGATCTTTCGTAATGCCTAAATTGCAACTATTGTGCACCACGAAGGGGTTGCTCACTCCACTTAAATGACATATTTACCATGAAAAATGACCTCTACATTAGGTCACTAGTACTTTTGTTCTTATCACCATTACGAAACTCTAGTACTGCAAACATATATGCACTTAAAAATTTTTTTTAAATGCGTGAATACCATTCGAATGCCGTTGAGTTTTGCATCACATGATTAGCCTATTATACGACTCCCATGTTTTCCCGCACGAAGAACCAATCACTTTTGTCACCACAATAACAATGGCATAGTGCTGAAAACCTGATATCATTTGAGCAAATCACTCTCACTCATCCATTTCTTTAGCATCCATCATGTCAAGTGGCGGATATGGGAGGAGTGAAGCTAAGGCAATTATAAAAGAGACAGACATGCTGGAGGAGTTGCAGCAACAAGCTGCAAACTGCGCTTATGATGCCCTGCAACATCATCAGCAATACATGGATATCGCAAGATACGTAAGAAAACAATTTGATGATCTCTACGGACCTTCATGGAGTTGCATCGTGGGAGCGGATTTTGGGGCGTAAGCTGACTATTGCTGATGTAAAATATCGACTTCGAAAGGCTTAGGAAATATGCGTTTAGTTTGCTGATTGACTTTGCAGTGCTAAAATCAAAGGTAATATTGTAGGAATGGTAGTGTGCATGGGTATGAAGAGTGCGTTTGGTGCATTACGTCTCAAATAAATTAAAAGTTAGGTGTATGACACAATTGCTTTAAACTGACGTTTAAAGCTCTTTCTAAGTTACACTCCTAAGTTAAAGAAAACTTATTCTGAACTTTGATAGTTGCAATGTACATTATACATTTTATAATTGCAAGCTCGAAATATTCTACATGTGTGAACAAGTTCAGAAAATAATAGTTATCAAAATAACTCATTACTATCAAGTGTAACATCTATTTTATTTGAGAATTTACTTCCAGCAACTCTTCTTTATGGACAATCATTGTTCAGTTAAATAGAGTTCCAAGGCAATACATTGCATCACCTATAAGTCTTCAATTTTTAATTAAACACGCATCTGTCCAAGGATCAAAACTTCTAAAGGAATAAAATCATTCCGAAATCGGAGGAATTTGATCCCATGGACAATGTTCGCGTCAATTCGTGTATGGAAACTAGTCAGTAAACCTGACTACAGTTTACTTTTACGTGAGATTCAATGAAAAGCAAAGAGTTTTGATTTACACGTCAAAATAGAACTTGATGCCTTAAAGGAGACTAGATGACAATATGAACGTGTATAAATTAACGTTTTTTGTAAAGGCATTAGAAAGCAATGCTCTCAGTTGAAGGGCCAAAATCATTTGAGATTATTAGCAATGGGGAACGGTTCTCCTCACGGGTTACTAACGCAATGCAAACATTACATTTTATTTTGAATATTCTACAGCTTAAAATAATTTCTAGATTTTTTTTTGTTATCAGAAAGTAAAAAGTCTAAAGGTTATCGGTAGTTTAAAAATATGTGTTAACATGTTTTGGCAAATTTTATTTTCTTAATACCATAGAAAGTGAAATTAGTTGCAGCATTTTCCGGTCCATCCATCTTTTGTGTGTTATAGCCCAAATTTAAAAGAAGCTTAGATCCCATTTACATAAGTTTTATCCCTAATCAAATCTAATTGACCTTACAACATAAATTAACTTTAGTGGTCATGTCGGTCTTGCTTGGAATCAGCTTTCTTGTTAGCAATTAACTTCTACTCAAAAGTCGGTTTTCTCATAGCGAAAAATAACTCGATCATCTCTTGATTTTCCTAATTAAATTTAAAGCCAGAAAACTCACAACGTTTGACACTTGCAATGTATACTGTTTTTGAAACTAATTCAGTTTCATTGGGGTGAAGAGAGGTAACTTGCACTCTCTTAATTCTGTTCTGGTTTTTAGACTAAGGTGTTAAGCCGCAACCTACGCTCGAAATCATATCATGTTTAGCTTAAGGCAAATTTTACATAGAATTTTATTGTGATTATGGCATCGAAATTTGTAACCTTTTTAGATTAGGATGTATTCAACTCAAGTCCAATTCCACTACTTTCTGATCAATCATTTTATAAGTGACAAATGTGCTTGAGCGATTACTAGGTTGTTATCCTAAAATATGCGTAAATTACTGTTGTATCGGTTTTAGTGCATCACTTTTTTCTTCGTTTGCCTAAAAAATGGGAAGTACGAAAACAAAATTATCACCCTAAATGCACAAACGTACACCGAACAGCGACATGTATTTGCACCATGTGGAGGGATATTGCCCTCGTATACATTACTGTATGAGTTAAGAGATAAAAAAACCCCAGCCCCAGAAGAAAGCATTCATTTGCAAGTTAAATGCATGTTTTACGGACTACTCAAGCGTTTGGTGGTCGTCTCAGTTCTAACGTTTGGCGAAATTGAAATATATCGTAATCTTTGGATTGTAACAATCTCTTCAGAAACGCTCAAAAATATATTATTGAATTATTCATTGTACAAAGCACCTTCTGGTTTTCGAAGTTGACTTGAGCAGAAGAGTGTTGCTGTGACACTTAGGACTTCATAGATTTAAAGTGGCGCCTTTAAATTAGCTAAGAAAGCATGTCGGTATTTGTTTGAGGTGGGATTTTGCCAAACGAATTCAGTGTCTTTAAGTAGGAAACATTACTATGTATCTTAAATATTGATCCAGTTTATATCACAACCTTCTTTACATTTATCTCTGTTTCACAGTATGTCACAAAATAATATTTATGCACATAAACATGTTACTGACACTAAACAAAAGTACACAAGTTGTTTCAAGTTAATGTGCTAACTGCTACTAAGGAACCCATAATATGGCCTCAGAGTTCAACACGAAAAATCAGTTGATGGACCCTGCAATGAGTATGTGTTTCCGATGCATTCTTAACGTGTCAGCTATCTCTTACTAGGAATAACACTAGAAACATGAATAGATTTTTATATAAATTGCTGACCTCATTTTTTCAGTTAAGCTAGGAAATGAATGTTCATTAAATTTTTACCTCTTGAGGTTTAAATTCAAAATACTGGTGATGAGCCATCAAAATCACTTTTTTGCATTTTAAAAAGCTCGTTATTAAGTGGATCACTTTCTCTTTGCAGATTTGGTCAAGTTTATCTAGTACAGATACTAAAATTAATTGCTTGTCTGTGTATCTAGTCCTAAAACCACTTTCACCTTCCATCATGCCTGTTGGAAACAGTCTCCTATAAACTTTTGCCACGATGCTATGTTTGCCAGCGTTTTAATTGTTGTTAATTTGCTATTTTTTAAATACAAATTTGTTTACTGCTCATCATAGATTATCAAGTCATTTTAGAACCAAAACTTGCATGAAATTATGCATTCAAATGGCTGTGTGATTTTCAGTGTATGCTTTTTAGGTTACTATTAGTTAGCGAAGAATCCTATCTGGTTGGAATAATTTGGCAGCTTTAAAAATAATCGTCTTTTGAATGTTATTAACCTGTGATAGCCTTTCTTTAAGGCAATTTTTAATCTTTGTGCTCAGCTACTTAATAATTTTTAAAATTTTACCCTTTCTAACTGTTTAAACAAATTGACACTTTTTACGAAAAAGAGCCAGTTGCCAGCAATCTTAAATCATTTTGTGCAACGATATATTTTGTGTAATGCATCGATGCAACTGGTACTCAAGATTAGGATTAAATTTACTGTAGAAATTTAAGAAAGATATAGAAAACAGTAAGTGCATGTCAAAAGTTTTGATTTGACTTTTGGTTCATAGGCATATTTTAATTCAGTTTTCGTTTGACTGTTAGCAATTTGCAAACAAATCTGCATGACACCTAAGGGGTAAAATAACACGAGATTCTGTTAAATAGGAGTGGTACACCCAAACGGTACTTCTTGACAACATTATGTTGAATTGTATCCAACCAGATTCTACTCCTACCGGTGTTTTTATTGTATCAGCAGAAAAAAATATGATTGTCATTGCAACCCGTAACCGACCAGAGCCTGGGAGTTCGGTAATTAAATCTTTGCAGTAAGCGGTTTTGGCACATGATGCTCGAATGGTTTTTATTTGGTTAACCTCCAAAGAATGTCTTTTAAGAGATTTATCAACATACTGAGTTTTGCATACTGACCATTTTTTGTTTGGTTTTAGATCATTTGCTTACGAAAAGAAGCATCTAATATCATTTCAGTTAAAAGGAAAGACTTTTCTGCTATTTCGCGGAGCATGAAGTCCTCCTAGGTATTTGAATATGAGTGTTTTTTGAGAAAACTTTAAAGCTTATGTGCTATTTTGCGAAGTTAGACAAATCTGTTTGATTTTTAAAATGACTATTAATACGCAAAATGACTTTAATGGGAGTCCTTGTTGATGTAATTGATTAATGTTTTTAATTTTAAAATGGAACTGTGCTTTATAAGAACAATGGCTCTTTGTAAAGGTGGATAATTTTATGTCTACTAAATATTTTAAGAAAAGAAGAAACTAATTGAAACTAGTATTTAAGCAACGAAGAAGCAAACAATGTTACAAAACATGTATTTTTAAATATCCGTGACATTTTGGTTACCAAGAGTTTAAATTCCTACTGCTCCATTAGATCAATACCTTTTTAAAAACCCCTAGAGTAATTCCGTTTAAATAGGGTTAGTACGGGAAATCTGCGGGGATTATAAAGCGAGGGAAGCTAACACGCTTTTTGTGATGTAGGTTGCAGATTAATAAGGTGCTTGTCTGCAAGAACATAAGAATTTGCATATCATGGTCATTTCTAGTTCTGCAATAAAAAATCATTTAACAGTTATCATTTCGTTAAGTGTATTCAGTGGAGGTTAAGAAAAATAGAGAGCGGAAACAATTTTATAGACAAAGATTTAGATTAATCTGGGTTGAACCGCAAAGAACTTTTGAATGAATGTGGCAAACCCAAAAGAGAGGTCAGCTCCAAAAGTACGTTTTACTGGGTAGTCGGATGAGCTTCTGCGCTTCAGCATTTGGCAAAGTTTTTTTCGAAGAAAATGTCAAAAGTAAATTCTATTCAGTGCAACTGAATTCAATGTTATGGTGAGATTGGTTTGGATTTGATTTAAGGCACTCTCACAGACCGAAAATTTCAGTCTTTTCAAAAATATAATCAATAGAGTTGGTCCATGGCAAATCTAAAATCACAGTGGATGGTTAGTGGTGAGAAACGGGATAGTGTATAACATTAACCGTTGATTGCAGTTGTTCAGGCCCCGGTACAGTTTGGGGAACCACACCAGGACCAATGATCTGCGTCGACACTGTCTGTCCGAAGAAAGAGGAGTGCAGATGGCGCGTAACTCAACCTGTTTATTGATGCAGTAGTGGTGTGTATTTGTGTGTGTGCATACAAGGTAAAAAGTCAGTTTATATAGGATCGGCTAAACATCGATCCCTGAACGTCACCGTTACGTGAAGGGCGCTCACGATTGCCTTGTACGCTTGCTGCTAGCCACACAGTCTTTAAAACCACATGGGCAACCTTAAAATGTTGCACCATTTCAAACGCAATAAACTAGGCAGAGTCACCCTAAAACGATTCAACTTAACTTTTTGTCTTCCCTAATATAACTGCCGTCTAAAGCCACGATGGGATATCTAGTGATGACCAAAGAGGTTGGCATTTAAGGTAAACTATTTTAATTTAATATAAATCAGTAAACTATTACAAATAATTTCAAAAAGGCATTGAAAAAAAGTGTTCCCATGGTAGAACACTGATTTAAATCTCCAAGAAAATTTTGCTGGAGTAGTTGATAAGAAAATACCATCAAAGTTATTGGAGGCATTTAATAAAACATGACCGTATCGTTTCTTTTTTCGAAGTCCCATGAAGATCTTGTTTCACAAGACTTCATTGTTTTGGGGGTAATGAACCGCTACAGAATAATTCCATCTTAAAAATAATAGCGAAGCAGCCAAACTAGTTGAAAAAGGTTGTAAACGTTGACAATAATTTTAAAATATAATTTTATTACGCAGCATAGTCTGCTGCTTAAATTTATTATGTTGCCAGCTGTTTAGCGAAAATTTTATCTCTAAATGTGAAAATTCTGAAGCCACCATTAAGACATTATCGTTTAAAGTTAGCTAACTGGAAAATAAAAATCGATAGAGGAACCAAAGAGGCTGACTGTTAATGGAAGTTCGTTAGTGATTGGCTCGTAGGTTTTTAAAATAAAAAGTCACTTTGAATCCCAAATGTTTCAACTGTAAGGAGGGGTCGAATATTTAAAAGAAAAAAGGAAACTTGCATGTCCATCGGAAACTTGTGAGACTGTGTGAGAAAATGTCTCTGAGTTATATAAATAAAAACAACAAATGACAATGTACAATTTATGCGGCAGTGGTCGTAAAGGGTGTGTACTTTGCCAATAAAACTTAGATATTATAATTTTAGTCCCCAGTAGTATTCTTAAATCTTACGAATATGCACATTAAAAGGAGCAATTTATTACTTAAAACAATTAGAAACATATTTTTCGATGAATAGATCAGGTAATGTTCCCAATTTTAAATCAGCATCTCATACGTGCTTTTTAAACGTTATTTGACTTCATTGTAAAGTCTCACACGTCCTAAAATCAGTTAAGGATGAACGGATCATAATTTTTTGCATGAAAATCTGCGTCCATACAAAGGTCTGGTAGAAAATCGAGGTAACTTTACAGTGTTCTCTTTTCAGTCTGCTATCAAGGTTCTACCTGTTATAACGTTTTGAATTCCTGCCATTGAATTTTCGTACAATGTCAAAAGTAACTTTTCCCCTACATATAGAGTTTGTTTACAATCCAATGAACCGTTTACACTTTTTTAATTATTTAATTTGCGGAAATTTAAGTTACCTTAATATGATCACAAAAATTTTGGTCTTAACGGCTCATGTGCCTTTACTGTTAAGGAGTAACTGAAGCGTATTTGGAGCACACAGATGCAGATACGTAAAAACTTTTTTCATATAAAATGACATAGAATTACCACCATGCATTAGTATTCATTGTTAATGTATCAAATCTAACGCCTAAATCCTAGATGCATAAGCTTTGATGCTGGGTTTTGGAGTGATAGCTAATAATGACGAGTCCTAACAATGCCGCAAGCATGGTCATCTTACCTGGCCGGTTGTATTAATGTAAACTGATAAGGATTTTAAAGTGAGACCCGCTGATCAGACTTGTCAAGCACTCAATCATCTTTTAGATATTCTTTGAATAAAACTTGAGACGATAATAGCAAATGAGTTTAAAGCTGTGCTAGAGGTCTGGAAACTTGTCTTACTCCACTTGGACATCTAAGACGGCAAAACTTTAGCTTTGAATTCTGACTTACAGAATCTGCAATAAAAGCATTAAAGTTACTCTTTGAGCAATCTTATCACGCAGGACCAGCTGCATAGTACTTAAGATGACACTAGTTAGTGAGCAGTCGCTAAAACTGCCGAGAACTGTGTGTGAGCAATTAAATACCACCCAGCACTCATTTCATTAAAGTAGAAGGAAGTAAAGAAATTAGTCCCTAGAATTAGGATGTTTGACATTGCAATTGCAATTTCTTGAAACATGTCGTCTCCAATGGGGCTTTAAAACGACGAAAAGTTATTAGGGTTGAATGGCTTTGCCAAAAAGCTTCGATGATAGCCTATCCTGTTAAAGGTTAATTTAGTACCTACTTTAATATGAAAGCAGTAAGCATATAATGAGTGTAGGCGTTCAAGGAATTTCTACCATTCCGAAAGTGTTCCCTGCCAGGATTTATTACTTTTTTGGCAGAAAATTGCATTAGTTTTCCACCATTAAAGTATTATTCGAACTGTTAATTTCATCCTGAATTGCTCTGATAATGCCCACAAACTAAACCATTCGCCACAAATACGCATCCATATTTAGAAATTCAGCAATGCCTGGTGCTCACATACCTTTAGTCAAGTAGCTCGGGTTTTTTTTTAAATATAACCATAAGAATGGACAGTAAGCTCACGCTTTAGACGATACATTACATTCTCTATCGAAGTTAGTTTTCACTGAGACCTTGAAATAACATTAAAATTATTTTCGGCTACTAAACTGTAAATTTGGGGTACACTATCGTCCAGCATGTCTGGCCAAGATCTTGCAGATTACTTCAGATAATTACATGAAGCAGATGCTTCCGAGATGACTTTAACCACAGTCAACAATTAGGAAGAAGAGAGACTGAGACTAACTACTACCTATTGCTGACAAAGAAAAAAAAGGTAATGACCTCAGTCCTTTATTTTCGTACATAAGATAGAAATGCAAAAAAAATTTATGGTTATGCGTCTTTTTAGTTTTATGCACTCTTAAATAGAAGGACTTGCTGACCACCAATGCTAAGGGAGATATGCTTCTTCTTCTCATAAGCGAAGGAGCTAGAATTGGTAAAGAGCGTGAGTGTATAACGAAAGAAACGTAGTTGTACTAAGGCTACAGTTTTACTAACCTACTGAAATCGCGGCCGACAATGCAGGTCCAGGACGGACCGTACTTTTTATCAAAATTCTCACGAACTTCAGTGGCTACTTGCACTGGGGTGGCCTCACCGGTGCACATGACCCTAGCACATTCGTTGACAGCCTCCTGTTGCAATGACTCCTTCATATCTGATTGGTTAACCTTGGCTTTGATGTAGCTCATTTTGATTGGCAAAGGTAGTGTGTGGCACTGTGCTAACTCTCTTGGAGACACCCTCCTGTCCACTTATATACCTCATTTATGACCCTGAATTTTTTTCATCGCCGATTGGTTCGATGTTTTGCCAAATCTAGCACGCATTCTTGAGAGATGAACCCTGTGGGTGAGTACATATGCGTAATCTGTCACACGAGCAAAATCAATACCATTTTGTGCACATACAAGAGTGAGAAGTCTAGCAGCATTTCTAGCTGCTAATTCTTGGTGATGCTAAGTAGAATTCAGCATATACGTAAATAAGTTAAAGTGCCTGTAGCTCATCAATAACCAATTTTCTCTTCAATGAGTTATAATTTCGACCCTAATTACCCTAGACATTCAACAAATACTCAAATACCTTTCAGAAAATGGCAAATGTTTACCTCTTTTCATAGTTTTCTATCATATCTTAGATTAGTTCCAGATTATGTTAAGGTAAATTTCTAAAGGGAAGGTGTGTATTAGTTTAGGTTTATAATTTTTCACTATGGTGCCAAACGATGTATAAATGAGACTTAGCTAATTCCGTGTATTTAGGTTTGGGATTCAATGGAACATTTTGATACATCTTACTTTCAAAGAAAGGCCAATGTTTGAATAATAAGGATGCGGTGTTAACCCTCCAACACTGACAACAAAGGTCCCTGGTTGTACTTAATAAGGGGTGTAGTCCTTTTGATATAACCATTTACCACAGTTATTTTACCAGAAACAATATGCAGATAACCACAATATCATCTCATTTTACAATCATCATGCATTGTACCTACCATTATGTACCTGTGGAAAGACAATTTTGCCTTCTGATAGAGTGGAAGCGAATTTGTTGTTCTGCAGCTGTTGAAATTCTAACCTTAGTTTTACAAAATTAAAATAGCGTTGTCTGATACTGACCAACCACATTTATCGGTTAAAAAACTGTCAAAGCATTTAAAAATGTGTGACTATTTTGATGGTGGATATTATGTGTAGCTAGAAACTTTATTAAAAACATTACCTTTGTCATTACTACATCAAAAACAACATAAATGGACACTAATCAATGCAAGAGTAGAATGCGCGATACACTATACTAACAAACCTTCAAGTAGTTCAAGTGTCCTTTTTGCCTAAATTTGTATTTTGAAGTCAGGATTTGTCACCGGCTGAATAAACGGTAACTGTAGACTATTGTTCAGACACTTTTGGAGATATTAATTTGAGGTCGATTAAAAACTTCGGGTCATCGTAATTTCACATTACCTGACATGCTAGTACTACCCAGCTCATTTAACTTGTAATTTTATTATTATATTTTTTACTTTACCTTAGATATTTATAAGTCAACATCCATTTCCTAACTCAAGCTCAGTTGTCATCATCTCCATATCCAAATATTAATGAAAAAAAGGAATCGATTACATCTGCACGTATAAACATAGCTTAGTAACCTTATGCAAGGCGGATTAATGAACGGACGTGTTCTCGCAACCCATGGCATGAGCAGCTTTCCGTAAAATGCTGCCAACTGTTGTGTCGACTGTTTCGTTCACGTCACCACTATTGTTTGCCATAAGTCATCTTTTTGTAATATAGAGCTATATGTTAATTTAAATTATCAAAATGGAAATAATGTGATTAGCCAGTTTCTAATCAAATTGTTACCGAAGTTGGAATATTTTTGGCTGGCAAACGCGAATCGAGACTGCGTATCTTTATAGAATAGATATTCAAATGATGTTTTCCTAGACTCTTCGCATCTACTAATCAGCTTCGCCGATACAGACACAGGTGCGTTTTTAGTCATTTTACATAGGTCACAATTGTAGTGACGATAGTTGCTGCATGATTTGAACTGAGGTCGTCATTTTTAAATAGGCAATAAAACCTCCTAAGTTGAAACTCCTAGCATCATAAAGCATTATTACTTCGTTAATAGTACGCTAATATTGTCCACAACTCAAATTCCTACAGCTTTACTAGTATTGAATTTTTGAATTAAAAGCAACTCAAAAGTAAGAATGACGATGACTCAAAGCACCCACGTCAACGCACTTGCATAACCAAGTCACACGTAATAGGTGACGGAGTTGGCGCCCACATTGTCACTTGCATCGCATAGACACGTAATAAGTTGAGCCATTACAAGAACTTACATCATTCTATTTGCACAGTTCCAATTGACTGCTCGAAAACCATGCAAGGCATCTCTACATTTTAGACTCGCTTATTAAATCAAAAGTTCAAAGTGTTGATTTTGCTTTGGACAATTTAAAGTCATGGGTGGTTTCACCTGAAATCCAGGTTAGGGTTGCGGTCATCGCAATTCATTACACAAAGATGGGTGTGTACAGAGCATTGCTGATAGGGAGAGTTAACTGGTATCACAAGTTATAAATCTCGAAAACGCAACATTTAGCAAATTGTCCAATATTGTTATATCCATGTTTTTGACGATAAATACGTTGATTTTCATTTGTGATCTTCTAAAGAAGGTAGAGGTTTACTAATTCGGCAATAATTCACATTTCACAAGATAGTTGATCCCTTCAAACTTTTAAACTTCTTTTCCCAGAGTTATTGCAACACAATATAGCATTGAGATTCCACGATCTTACTTATTCTTGCTCAAATGGACTTCAATAAATTTGTGGAGAACCAAGCAATCCTCAAGCTTGTCAGTAAATGCCTATTTGATGGACCATCTTAATTGGGTGCAAGTTAGGCAAATTCAAAATCCTCTGAAAACTAAATCACCTGTCAAATTTCCGGTGAGTCTGATTTTCTTCACTCAATTCCACCGGAACACAATATTTTCTATGACTTATTCTTCCATTTCAACCACACATGTACCTTTATGACTTCGATTGTTTCAACACTAAACTAGACACACCCATGGCAAGCTGATTTCTTTTACTTGGATGATTGCCTAAGCCGTCACTGGCATTGTGTGTAGCAGAGTAAGAGGCGTGCCACGCTAATAAGGCGTAAAAAACGCGATCGCCTTGACACACAGTCACTCCGTGAATAGTTCAAGCTGCTTTGAGTATGAGGCAGATTAAAGTACTAACGTGATAGCTATTATCGAACTAACTCACCATTCTGTTACTAGTGTCCTCTTGGTTGATAGCTGACCATATAATATGGCGCTGTCAGTGGCTTCGAAAAACGCAATTGTAAACTAACTATTTTCAAGGGGTTCCTGGTTATTCAATAATTATTTAATGCAACGTTTTCCTACAAATAGACTTAATATGTGCCATAACGTGATTATGAAGAGCAATACTGGAAAATAAAAGTAATCATTGTTTTAATGTGGGAAAACTCTGACTTTTTACCGAGCCGGCCATCCCACGCCATCCGGGTATTATATTGCCGGTTTATTTACATTTCCTTTACTTTACTAAATATCAGTGGCAATGTTCTCATCAATCCGTTGCACTGCAATCGTTCCTTTTAGAGTTTCATGCAAAAACTACTTCCGACTCATGACCTTGCCTCGCACACTAATATTTAATTCCCTTCACCAACGTGCGGTCGAATCCACAATTCCTTTACCAACTATGCCCGATAAACTTGATCCAAGGTTACTGAACTTCCTCGTACAACTTATTTCCCCATTTGTACCCGTTGGTTGTCCATGATCCTTAATTCAGTAACAGATTCAGTTACCGTGGAATTAAAGAATGAACACTAATGTCAATTGAAATTTCAAACAACAGTGCAGTACCTTAAAAACCTCGTCGTTAAGCATGACACAGAACATCACGGCCTCCAGGCAATCTACAACGCATCAACTGCTCGTTATCGGTAACATTGGCAATGAGTACTTCAGGTCCAATTGATCTTCGAAAGTCTACCTATTTGTGGAAATCGATTTAACACCTCCTCCTCGCATTTGATTTATTAGTGACACACCTTAAAGTAATTACTTTCAGTTTTGCAACGTTTTAAGTGTGTCGGTTATCTGTTGTTATTAAAAAGGCATCACAAATTTGCATTTATTCCGTACGTAGCAGATACAGTTTGAGCATGAGCCGCCGTCATTAAGACTCCCTCTAATCAGACTTAACATCCATTTTCAGGTCAGTGCAAAGACCGAGAAAGAGGCAATTCCCATTCAAACAGCAGAAGATCTTCATTTTCTTGCAAAATCGTTTGTACTTCCAGTGTCCATCAAGGCAAACCTCGCACACAACGCAGTTTGCCACACAAACCGTATGTGCCTTAAAAGAGGCACAATGGCTCGGAGTTGAGCATTTGTACTGCGGCTCTTCACACCCCACAAGACTAAAAGTTGCGTTGACGTTATTTGCCTAGGGTAGTGATGCACTGACAATGGATATCAGAAGGAACAAACAGTAAGGTTAATATCCGAAAATGGATGGCTTCAACCCCTCATAACTGAGATTTTGAATTTGTCACATGAGCTGAATTTGAGCAGAATATTTGCCAGGGTTTAATTTTCATATCATCGCACCTTCTAGTCTGTGGCAGATAGCAATCATTGTTCGTTAGAGATTTTTATGCCCGTGTATTGTGCGTATTAAGTTTCCTCATGAATTCCTATCACTTGACGATTAAAACAATTGAAATTTTATTTGATACTGACTTAAAGGTACTATAAATAGTTATTGTACCAACTGCAGCAACTCATAAACCTGCTCAGATACCTATTCCGTTGTGTCATGCAACTTTCAAAACATGAGTAAGACTCCACTAACAACAAACCAGATGGTATACCAATTGGTAAAATTTAAAACAGACCTTTTTGTAGACCACAGAACACCTTAAATCAAGCACACGCATAAGTCAACTGAAATTTGCCCATTGGGACAATCAAGTCGTGAAACTCTGCAGTTTACAACACTTTATTTTCGTTTACTCATCAATACACTATCCCACTACATATTTGTGCGCCCGTTGCACCAGAAGATTGAACGTTTCAATGCCAACTGATTTTATCATGTCAAAAAATTTACGTGCAGTGATCTCTTTTGTGGACAAGATACCTTAGGATACTAAAATAATAAACATTTCTAGCAGAAATAATCAAGTATCAGAATCGGACAGTCAATTGAGGATGGAATACTTACTAATGGTTTGTTTGAAGATCTGCGATATTCGAAATAGCTAAGACCTGAATGGTTACAGCCAATGCTTTCAAAAACTTGCACCTCCAAATCATTTAACATGCAATTCGAATTATTGATTAAGCACGAACATCCTCTATTTATTTATTTTCATATATCAAATATGCACATTTTACCGTCACTTTATTCGATAATTTTTTGTAAATTGTGGGTTGAAATGGGACATCGAAACTCTGATTTAGAAATACAGCAAGCACTTACACCACTTGGTTTATCTACGCGATAGAAATTTTAGCTATTTTGCTATAACCAACCCTTTTATATAAATGTGCAATAATAACTAACTTTTGCTCCTGTCCTTTTAAGTTGCCTAACTGAATTAAAACGTATCATATTTCTATTTATTAAGGTTAGTAATCTTGGCTTTGCCTAGTTCGGAGACGTATGTAATCATCTGCGAAGGAATTTGGTTTCAATTTTGACGTACAAATTAAAAGTAACTAATATTCAAGATGATTCAATGTCTAACAGCTAAGGAATAGGTAATTAATCTGCACAATTTTTTTTCCTCCTTGTGAGTAGTAAGTGGTTTCTCATTGAAGTTCATTTGATCTCACTTAAGAGTTTGAATTTTTTTGATAGTAAGGCAGTTTTGTCTACTAGGGTAAAGAAATTGGATTGACAGAAAATCAGGTACTTTTGTGGTCATTATGTAATCTCGTAACGTTGTTGGCGAAAACTCATCCCAACAGATTCGCCGTAAGTTGATTGGTATCTCTGACTCATCCTACCTTTCATTGGTCTCTGTTCTCAAGTATTCAATAATCACGCTCACGCGCACGCACACATTGACATATCACGCCTAGCGAGGGATAAACGGCTGCGTTCAATGCCTCGTGTCGACTCCCTACCTCCCGCGTTGTCTTTGCGTTCTTTACAGCGTTAGCGAGGCATAGGATCTTAACGTAGCCTGCTCATGGTTACATTTTCCCGATGCTGTCAGTAGTGCCGGTAATTCCCACATTCAGCCAAAAAGGAGTATATTTATGAGAACGGCGAACTGTGGTCCAAACGGAAATGTCGACTGTAAAATTTCCCTAAGCACTGAGAAGAAATATGATTTGATGAGTATACAGCACTAAAATAATAGCAGATTTTCAAAACCCCTTATGGACATAGAGTCAAATCATAAGCAATTCATTCGCCTGCTTTGAGACCCTTCCAATTTCATGTTTTTTGCGACACTAACGTAGTGTCCAAAAAATTGTTTAAATTTAGTCAAACGTGAACTTCACGACATGAAGTCTGTGTTCAAAATGAAGAGAAACGTAAATTGTCATTTGATAAGCAATGAACTATTAGAGAGAAGAGACCTCATAGCATTTCCCGAAAGCATTAGTAGTTTCTATAAAGTGTGTAACTTGACTTCATCTTTGGTGAAAAGGAATGGAATGCGCGCTTTGAATACCTATCCAATATGTCCTCACAGACAGTTCACTGAACTATGGTTAATAATACTAGGTGGTCACTGATTTTAGTTTAAAATATAAATGGATGTTTAAGCATGTGGATAAAGAAGTGGAATGTTTGTCTAGGCAGATTTAACTGATACGGTTGGTGTAATATTTTTGTTGTCATTTAAATTGAACGACCAATATGATTTCCTAAGTTTGCAAACTTAGTTTCTTCAAGTGAGAAAACGCCGTTTGATTAATGAGGTGGAGTCCCGCGTTGTCGTGCCAATTGCTTAGTCACGTGTAAGATTTTTAATTTCATATACCACGTTGGCAATGAAGCACAACGTAGTTCGTGAACAGGGGCAGTTAAGAGCATGAATAGCGATAGTGTAAAGGCGCGTGTAATTTGTTCCAGCTTGCATTTAAACTGCACGTTATGGAAAGACCCGGCCTTCAAAATCAAGTATTTTGGTTTCTCTGATGGGAATCTTGTACTAGCATCCGATTGTGGTATTGTTTGCGCCGTTGTCAAGTGAATTGCCTGTAAAATCAGATACAAATCTTTTAAGTTCCTAAATGTTTAAATCCAAATATGATGGTAAATTAATACTACCATTCATCTACTCAAAATGAATTAAATTTAAGGATTATGAACAGGATGAGAAAATCCCGCTGGAATGAAACATTAACAGATTTAAGCAATTGTTAATATCTCCATTTTAATCATGTTATGCTTGTAGCGCAGCACGTACCTGAATAAAAAGACAATTTTTTCGCCATGTTAAATTAAAAGTCAAGACATGAACAGCAGTCTCGATATGTGAGGTCTTATCAAGGACTATTGTTTATATAAACCTGAAAATATTTCCAGTCTATTTAATATAAAGGCACATCATCAGAGACATAGCAGTGGTATCAAAATTTCAACAAATGATCAGTTCATAAACTGGTTATTTCTGCTTTTTAAATAAGCCGGTGTTATTCTAGTTAGGTTATAACTTATTGCTAACTTATCGCATCAATGTGTATTATATGCTAGATTTCAAGAGTTTTGTTTAATGGTTACCAACTTGCTGACCTACTTTATCAAAAATGTTAGAAGGGAATAGGTTTAAATCAAGGTATCTGGTCAACTAATTGAAGACTTAACATTTACCTTTTGTGCGACTGGTGATTTTTATTATCTGTGACCTTACTAGGCAAATAAAGATTACAAGTCTGGATTTTGCACAGATCAACAGGACAGTAACAAAAAAGTATCGTCATATTCTGTCCAGAACATGGTAAACATTTCATGTACTTAAGTATCAAGAGGCTATGATGCCAAAATTATCCCAAATTGCACACACTTTAATCCACAATTTAGGCTCAAAGAAACTAATTATTCGGGCTTTACTATGCTTCTATTATGCTTGCTTGAAAACAATGGAAGAAAATCATTGTCTAAGGCTCATATTTCTATCAAAGTTTTATGTCAGATGTTCATCTATCTGTATACCAAAACCGTTTGTTGGTTTATATTTGGGGCCCCTCTCTGTGAGAATCTGTTTGAATCGATTAAATATTTAGGGTGCCGAGAAAGCAATTTTCGACTTTAAAGAAAGAAAGAGAGAAAAGAAGGATTTTTAAACCACGCTTTTTTTGCACATTCAACCGAGAAATGCTCTTTGATTCTACGCAATAAATTGTTAACATCAAACCTGAATAAACTTGGTACAACTCAGAAATAACTAAGAATTACCATCATATTTTCCTTTGACACAGCAACTTTGTTCCCATTTATAGCACTAGGGTGTTTTGCATGTTTGAGTATCAACTTGCATGACTGAGGAGCTTCATTCAATTGGTTACCTTTTGTTTTCCGGCCACCCTAATTATGTACACTTTGTTGGAATCTTCGATTGGACGAAATGTATTTCCACTTTTCTACAAGCAAATGCTATGACCATAAAATTAGCATGATTTGCATATTTATTTCTAATTCTTTTATGTTGCAAGCACCCGATAGCTGCAACAATCTATAAGCAAAACACGTTCACTGAAATCTTGAGGATTTCAAATCATTATCATTCATCTCGATCTACTGTGACTCAAAAACAAGTGACTTTAAAAAATCGACATTTAGGTGTAACCTAAACATTACTGGTAAAATTCCTTTAAGTATTGCTAAAGTTGGTTTTTGTACCGGCACAAGAAGACGGGTTACATTGAAAAGTGCCGCAGAAACTCTTGATGCTTTATCTTTGGAATGTTGATCATTCCAGAAGACATTGTTATGTTCTATGTTTGGTAGACGTAATTGTGGTTCCAAACTATCTTGCCTGTTAACGATTTTGACAGAAAACGTGTGCTGCCAAATTGTATTTGAAAGGGAACACTTGAGCCTGTGGCGGACTTCAAGTGTATGCACACACGCACATAGAGTGATGGCAGAACCAATTGCATTGGGTGCAACTGTCAAGGTCTTGAGCAGAGGTATATAAAAGTCCCTTGATGGTGTAAGAAAATCACTAGCACATACGTCTAACCGCAATCAGGATGAGCTACATGAAGGCCAAGGTCAACCAATCAGACATGAAGGAAGCTATGCAGCAGGAAGCTGTCAACGCCTGTGCTCAGGCAATGAGCGATGGAGCGTCTCCTGTGGAAATCGCAACAGCTGTTCGCAAGCACTTCGATGAACGCTATGGAGCCTCATGGACCTGCATTGTTGGTCGGGACTTCAGCAGGTGAGTCTCTCTATAAAATAAGCGTGTTGTTTCTTGCATGCATCAAATGGAATACAAGTTTTAATATTTTAGTTCCTTCGCATATGAGAAGAAGAAGCACATTTCTCTGGAGATGGGAGGGCAACAATTCCTTCTATTCAAGAGTGCTTAATTCAAACATGTTTATATGCTAGTGGAAAATCTATTGTTGTACAATAAAAGTATCATAACCAAATGCAAGTGATTTTTATGATGATGATGATGGCCACAGCAAAAACACTTGTTGTTTTGATTAGACTATTAAGGCAGCGAGGAAACTTAATCCATGTTGTCGCTCGTCTTGGTGTTCTATAAAGTGAACCAGATGTTATTGGATACAGGCAAATGGAACAAATCTGCACTACCATTGAACGATATCGTATCATTTGTAAAAATAATGATTAACATGTCATACGTGTGTTCTAAAATTGTGCACCAAAATGCTTTAACACTTATTTGTAATTAGATAAATATTTGGATTCGGTTGCATATTGGCAACACTGTTTAAATTAAGTGTACTGGTGTCAGTGTTTAATAGCATACTATGCCAGAACAATATGTTTCTTTCTATAAGCATTGCCGAATTTCAGATCTCTGATAAAGTAGGTTAGATAAGTCACAAGGAAAACGAGTTTTATAAAAGTTTTGATTGAGTCAGTTTTCCAAGCCCTCTCTAGTTTAATAAAAATATTTCTTATGTTGGTGAAATTATGGTGATCTGATCTTAGTATAAATCATAACAACGTGTAGTAAACTGAACTGAGTCATTGAATAAAAAACAAGATTTGGTTTTTGTCACTTGTAAAAAATTCCCCGTAGGACTAACTTCCTACTTTCAAAAACAACACCGATTTCAAATAACATTTAAATACATCTCTACACAAGTTCTACATATTTCATTAGATTCAATTCAAAACAAATGTATTTCGGAGATTAACGCTTATGCACCATCTGAAACTATTTGTCCTTTATCTGAACCACATATGAAGAGGCTTGATTAGTAGAAATAGGCAAAATAATTCGGATAATAGAACTTACAACCACTGAATTGAGTTGTAATTTTACTAAAATGTATCATTTTGTGTAATCCAGCGTACAAATGCTTTCAAAAAATGTAATTATGTCATCCATACACAACTTGAAATATTAGGCACTTCGACGCAGACGTGTAGCCATCATGGTTTTGCTAATTTTATGAACTTTGTTGCTTTTAATATGATGGCAACCTTTTCCTTACGTTGTGAATGTAACACAGTCACATTCGTTAAAGGTATTTGAAATTAATAAGCAGTTGCACCAACCGGTAAGCATAAACAGATCGACTCAGTGAATACAAATCCTACAACTTGGTGGAAAATAAAAGACAGACATGCTTCCAAGATTCGTCCTACAACGTATTTGGCATGCATTTATTAAATGGAAATTACATTACAAAGAACTTTTATTGCGCATTTACGTAAAGCTTAGGAAAACATATAAGTCACAGTTAAAAATAACAAAAATATCCTTCATCTTTTATAAGTGAATCATGAAAATACGCGTCTGTAAATTTTGGTTTCAAAGATACCCAGTCACTTTTCAAGTTTTATGAACTTTACTGAAGTTTTAAGTCTGGAGTGAGATGTTCAAAGATGACCTTCGTAACGGCAGGGGTTTCTTCTACATTGTAATCATGTGAAGACCTATACGATTGTGCATTGATTTTTTTCGCTATAGCATAGGTGACTGCTTAATGTTTCTTCGTGTCTTTTCGACAATGCTGTTAAAGTGCTCTACGCCTTAAGAACAGGCTGTTTTTTCCAAAAATACCAGGTACATCTCAGTTTTAAAAGGGTTGTTAATGACGACCGTTATCATAGACATTAAAGCCAAAATATCATTCCATGTCTCCTAGTGCACATTGTATAACATCTTTAGCAAATAGTTCGAGCAGCACTATAAAGTGCCTGCCTATCATCATGGATACATTTAGTCGGCTCTTGTGTCCACGTTGCATCGCGAAGTGGAAACAATATACGTTTTTGGATGGTAGTAACTCACTCTTTTGTAAACAATATTGTCCTACTATCCCGAACACAAACTAACGGACTAATTTGAATGCTAATGTCCTAATTGAAACAAAGGAGCCACGGGGACTGAGGTAAGATCAGGTTACCTAAGTAAAGTTAAGATGGGACGTTTACGATTTCATCACATGATTTGAGTTTTTTGTGACCATTTAGACCTCTGCTTTGGTTTGTTTTTAAATTGAGTCACTGGTGTCAACCTGTGTTTGTTAATAATGGTAAAATCTTTCTAGTTTTTTTACCATTTTTTTATAAATACGTCTAAGTACGCTTAGTTATTCCGCTTGAGATTTTATTTTTTGCCTCAAACTTCTTAAATTTATATTTTAAGAAACATTCATCAATAGCAACTTCAGAACTTTTGAATCTCCTTAGTCTCTTCTCACATTTGTTTACTCATTAAACTTCAGTTAAGCTAACAACTCAAAATTTCATCGTTGTAGGTTCAAATTGTGTGAGTGTGTAGCAAACGCCTCTAAGCAAATCTCTGTTTGCGAAAAACTTTTCTTTCGTCAATAACATTGCACTCTAGTTATCCCAATGCAACGTCACATTTGATTCATGTTTAAATGATTCCACGCTCACTTCTGATCGAAGTCAGAAGTCCTTTGTTCAGTTTGTTCACTTAGAGTAACTCTCCTACAACGTCAAATTAAAACGCCCAAGTTAAGAGACCTGCAATAAAGGGCTAATAAGGGCTTATCCGTATAAGGTTATTTGAGTAGGCTTATCAGAGATGAATAGCGTCTCGGACTCCACTGGTTGCCGCGAAAAGCTTGACTTTGCTGTTCACTATATGCTCCACGAATACGCCACAATGATGTACCATATGTGAATGAACGCTTTCACTCACTTGGTCAAGTAGCCCTTGTTACCAAATGCCATGGGAATTAACGAAAACAGGGTTGCAGAGTAGGGGCTGACATGTTACTGATGTACCTTTTACAGAATTCTAAATAAAGTTTAATACGCTACACAATTTACTGAGGCCCCTTGTGATGAAGCGAAACTTAAAAGTTTTTTTTTTATTTAAGGAAGTAGAGGAAAAATTTAAGTTTTATTTTACCCAAGATACAATACTCTTAAAAACGGTAATAGACTTGAAAACTACTTAAGTTGAACAATTATATAAAATAAAGGCATGAATGAGTTTAAAAAATGGTCTTCAATTACACTTGTTACCTCCACGCATGGAAAAAATGAAAGAGGGAATAGATAATTAAATAATCTTTTATAGCTAAGACCTCCACTCAAAGTTCTAAACATGTTCCAGTTCATAAGAAGGAGACAAAAACATTTGTCTGCCTGCAATTCCCTAGATTTAAGTGAAAAGCTTCATCCTTTGTCTTTACCTCATAGAACTCACTTGTTTGCACGTGGGACGATATGTACCAACTAAGCTATCAATGCCTTTTTTTGTCGTGGTGTCAGAGTAGGCATAGTCCATTGAGAAAAACCAGTGAAGATTATTTAAAACAAAATTAATCGAGCTATTTGGATAAATAAATGGATCCAGAAAACCCAATAACCAGTGCTAAGCTTGGTGACTTTGATTCTGGTGTGAAGTCAGTTTCCAACTGCCATTAAGCAATATATTTTTAAAATTAATGACACTTTCTACCCTCACCGAGTGTTTACTTGAGTTTATGAACATTCAGTAAATTACGTCTTGGAAAGTATATGAGGGTGACCATCAAATCAAGCCAGGCGTAGGATTTTTCATCGTAATTAATTCGTTTGACATAACCACGCGGCTCCCTTTTCAAGACCAAGCTATAACATTCCCAGCGCGAAGCCAAAGACAAGACCTGGGACAGAGGGTTTTGTCAATTGTCACGTCAAAACGCGCTCACGTTAATGTGTATCGTGGGACCTTGACAAAAATAACAATAATGGAAGAGCCGTCAGGAGGGACATTGAACTTGTGTGAATGCGAGATGGTGGCGCTGGAGCTAATAGAAATATCCCTTTTGGGACAAAATTTGTCTTGGGCATGCTGACTTTTTCAGCATTTATCCTGTTTAAAGAAACCTAAAATATATCAGCGACGCTTTATTTTTGACGCAAAAATTGAGGTTTTATTGTTTCTGTTGATTAGATGCGCAATTCCAAGCACAAATACATGACAACGGCAAAACCAAATTAACTGGGATAATTTTAATCTATGCAACCAATTTCACACACAAACGAACTAAATTTTATTGGCAGTAAAGTATTGAACTTTTTCATGACCTTTAAAAACTCTCTAAAGTCTTATAATTAGTGATGATTATTCCCAAAAAACACACACAAAAGAAACAGTGGTTGCCTTTTTTTGGCAACCCTGACTTTCGCCAACGAATTATTTTAAAGTTCCGTTGGCTTTTAATTGTTTCTGATCAGTGCCCTTCATAACCAAAGTTTTTAGCACAGGTAGCTTCTTAGAAATTCTGCGAAATTGTGGCAAAATGCAAACAAAGGTAAATTAGGAAAGTTCTAGAATGAATATATTTTTTTAAAGTGCGTGCATTTTACGCCAGCTGTATGAAAAATATTTACCGAAATGTTTTTTCAGCAGTCGCCTGGTCTCTATAAATGCCAAAACATGACAGGTGAGAGTTTTAGACCGTTAAAGGATGCAACGGATTTTTAAAATGAAATTTTAAAAGAGGACAGGAATCTCAATAAATATGTTTGCAGAAAATTGGATTTAAAAATAACCTGGCAGTGCATCTTTACCTTGTTTTCGATAACCTTGGCATTTCTCAAATGCCTACAGCGAATATTTCTTTCGACGCTTGTATTTTCTTTAATGGACTGCAGAAATAATTTGTGTAGCAGTCATGAAACCACTTCCATCAGTTTTCTCACCAAGCTTTCTACTGCAAATATCCAAAGTTGGTGAACAATTTTGGAACGAATTTAATTGTTTGTATTTAGCATCTGAAATCATAAACGCTCCGAGTTTCATTTCTAATGACAAAATGCGTGCAGACCCCGATGTCAGAAGAGTTTACTCCACAAATTACTTTAGCCATGTTTTTTTAGGTTTTAAGAGTTTACTGACGCGCAATAGCTAGATAAAAAC